TTTTGCACAGTCCAACAACCAAGAAATGAAGCACTGTCTCCTTAAGGCAGGTTCTCCTCACCTGCACACACAGGCCAAAATTGTGCTGTCCATTGCACAGAAACACAGTTCATATAACTGATGAACTTACTTTTGCAGGGATCTCCAATTCTGCCCGCATCCTCCACCATATGTGGGAACTCGCTTCCAAGTGGTAGAGCTTCTTCAAAGCACACAGCAACTCGCTTATTTTTTAACGGGCCTGTTTGCCACTTTTATTTAAATGTCAGTTCAATAACAAAGGTTTCCCACGCAGGGTATCCACCATCAAACAAAACAAATTCAGCCTCCTGCGTGTACCAGTTTTAAAGTCTGCCTCCTGCAGCGCGAGCGTTCCAAAGTACGCAGTTTGTTTGTGTTTTTTTATCTGCCTCCTGCAGACTCTTCCCAAAGTATGGCACTGAGCACACAGCTAGTCTGGCTTCCACCTCTCCTAGGTGTATCCCACCTGACTCCACGGCAGAGACCACTCCCGTCTGCTGGGTGGCGCCCTCCTAACTGCCGGGGTGGGAGCTCAGACTCATGGCCTGGCCTCCACAAAAAGGGCCTGCACACACCTGTGCAATCAGCACGCTGGATTGCTCCCAAAACTTATATACCATTCTATTCTTCCATATACCTTTCTTATATACTATCCTGTACATCCATATACCTCACTTATATACCATCCTGTACATCCATATACCTCCCCTATATACCATCCTATTCTTCCATATACCTCTCTTATATACCATCCTGTACATCCATATACCATCCTATTCTTCCATATACCATCCTGTACATCCATATACCTCAATTATATTCCATCCTATTCTTCCATACTCCTCTCTTATATACCATCCTGTATATCCATATACCTCTCTTATATATACCATCCTATTCTTCCATATACCATCCTGTACATCCACATACCTCTCTCTTATATACCATCCTATTCTTCCATATACCATCCTGTAAATCCACATACCTCTCTTATATGCCATCCTATTCTTCCATATACCATCCTGTACATCCATATTCCTCTCCCTTTATGCCATCCTATTCTTCCATATACCATCCTGTACATCCATATACCTCTCTTATATACCATCCTATTCTTCCATATACCATCCTGTACATTGATATACCAACCTATTCTTCCTTATACCATCCTGTACATCTATATACCTCACTTATATTCCATCCTATGCTTCCATACACCTCTTTTATATACCATCCTATTCTTCCATACACCTCTCTTATATACCATCCTATTCTTCCATATACCATCCTGTACATCCATGTACCTCTCTTATATACCATCCTGTACATCCATGTACCTCTCTTATCAGGGGCGGACTGACAACTTATTGGGCCTCCAGGCAATAGGGGATCAAGGGGCCCCTGTGTCCTTGCCCAAACTCAAAAAAGCCTACCAGGGGCATCTCATGGGACCCCCTACTGACCCCGGGCCCTTGGGCAGTGCCTGAGTTTCCAAATGGTCAGTCCGCCCCTGTCTCTTAGATATCATCCTTTATATCCATATACCTCGCTTATATACCATCCTGTACATCCACATACCTCTCTTATATTCCATCCTGTACATCCATATACCTCCCTTATATACCACCCTATTCTTCCATATACCTCTTATATATCAACCTGTACATCTATATACCTCCCTTATATACCATCCTGTACATCTGCTGTATACCTCTCTTACTGTATATACCATCCTATTCATCCATATACTTCTTTTATATACCATCCTGTACATCCATATACTTCTTTTATATACCATCCTGTACATCCATATACCTCTTTTATATACCATCCTGTACATCCATACATATCCAGCTGACAACAGATACCCCATAGTAAGCTTATGGTTGATGTCATCTCCCAGGCATTTGCAGTCATTTTCTTTGATCTCTCCTGCACAGAGAAGCTGCTGCTGGAGACTGGACTGGAGTGGCTTCAGAATAGGTTAGTGTACAGATCTTTTCTTTACAGGGTTAGATAGAATAGCCTTGGAATGCAAGTGGGAGTAGGTTTAGCCTTAGTTAGGATTTGCCTGAACTTCCAGTTTAAGTTAACCATAGAGGGATCAAAATTCTGCTTGTTCAGTGTGTGGCGCTCCTGGTTTGACAGAAGTCAGTTGGTAGATCAGTGTGTTCTGACAGTGCTGGGTCCCTCTGTTAGAATTCAATGTCCTAGGGGGGAGGGTTGGCTATTCATCCACCCACCATACTAGTGGGATAAAAGGATTTGTTCATTTTTTTTGGGGTCAGCCTGTTGGCTAAATGAAAAAAAAAAAAAAACGGCTTGTTCATGGCCAGCTTTGTACCACAAAAAAATCTTTGGTTCTGTATTCTCTGAAAAGGGCGCTGCTGGAGGTGGGTAGGCGTGGGGCAGTGCTCGGGGGTGGAAAGGGGGTGGAGATAAGGAGTGACTCAGAAGGGAAGAGTACCTGCACCTATTCCCTGAGAAAAAAAAAACCCTAGCTATGGGAGATAATAGCAATATATATATATTGCTATTATTATTAATAATCATAATAATAACTTTTATTCAATATAGCTCTGGCCAGATGTGAGGCTCAAATAGGCAGCAATGTACAATCACAGAAAAGAAAGCACTGTAAAAGTCAGTGTTGTGCTGTTACCCACAAATCAAATTAGGTGTATGACAAATAAGTGTAAGTACCTGAAATTTGACTTTTACCACTCAGTACGTTACTGAGGACAGCACTAGTAGCTAGTTATACTCTGTTACATGCACATGTGCGTACCAGAAACTGGACAGGGAGGTCTTCATTCATCGCTCTCAATCACAGACTGGGAGCAGTGAGGTGACCAGGCTTTATTGCTTGACTAAAGTAGGGTCTCTGGCCCAACTGTGCTGACTGACAGAATTAATCATGGCGCTGGATTTACAAATAGAACAAATCCTTTGACAGATTTTGCTGAATTGGCTGTTGGCACCACTCGACTTGACAAAAGTTGATTTTACCAAAGGAGTTGGGTGGAAAATTCTCAGCCCAGTGTTTGCATCCAGTAGATGCAATCTTTGTTTGGGTATTGTGACATCTGTTGATGTCTAGAGTGCAGTGGATGCCCAGAGGGCTCAGCTACAAAGTTTATGCTCTTGCATAAACCAAGGGGTTAGAGGATATGTGCAATGCAAATTGTGTGGCTTTTCTGTGTCTTTTGCATTTCTTATCAATGTCAATTAAATGGCTGAGGAAGGGGGGGGGGGAGGCAAAGGTTCTACCTTGCCTGGAGTCCCATTTCTCCCTATTCTGTGTTCATCTAGTAGAAAAAATCTACACATTCAGATCAACTGAACGTTCATGTTAATGCCTGTGGAGGAGAAAAGGGTGTGGGCAGAAACCTTGGGGCCAACTTTATACTGAGTGGAACAATAGTTGTTGCTGAAAAATATACAACATAGATGATGACTAGCTTCTGCTAGCTGGGGGCTATACACAGAAAGAGCGGAAGCAGATACTCATCACAAAATCTAGGACTTGCAAGGTGCCGAGTCATAACAAAAATGTTAGAGATAAAATCATCCTCAATACTTTATTGCAAAAAATTTATTTTAGAAAAACAACTATATATTAAAAAACAAAGCAATTTTTTTTTTTTTTTTATAGAGTACAGTCTCACATATCATAGTTCCCAAAAATTTGTCATATATGGTGTGACGAACCTGACATGTTTCACCCATTCGAGCTTCCTCAGGGAAACAATCTATCCACGCTATAAAGGAACTAAAAGAAAAACAATCTACCACGCAATACATACATTTGTAAAGCTTTAAATACCATATTATACAGCAAATTGTAATTGAAATCAAAAGACAAAATTGATTTACGTATATGTATATTTATAACAGACCAAAACAACAACAAAATAATCATAGTGGATTAATTAGATGGTGTCTGACCCATGTGTATAGATCCAATGTGATCAAATTAAAGGCATATGAACTAGTATAGAGCCAGCCAATCCTAATTTTCCCACCTTCACCCTTACCAGGGCTAGTATTTGGTGTGCTACAGGAAGGGCACAGAGGTGAAAAATCTGTATAGAAAGATATGCAAATAGAATGTCCACATTATACATTTTCCCAAATAAACTAGAGGTTAAAGGACATTAAATACCTTTAATAATCACTGTGCGTTATTCACTGGATGGACAAACCTCATCAATACTGAATCCCAACAAATGGAAACTGATCAAAATAAATTGGTATTACAACCAGGAGAACACAATCTATGAATATAAAGAAAACCAAGTCACAATTCCATGCAGGTAATAGCAATAAATATGCAGTAATACAAGCATAATCCAATGTCCCACTAACTCACCAAAATAGACCTCCAATCCATTGGTCATATGTTACACAGATAAAACAGGTAACAAAGAGGCTCCACAGACGAGTGCCCCGATCTATCTCACTTTAACATACACTATATTGCCAAGAGTATTGGGACACTTGCCTTTACATGCACATGAACTTTAATGGCATCCCAGTCTTAGTTCGTAGGGTTCAGTATTGAGTTGGCCCACCTTTTGCAGCTATATCAGCTTCAACTCTTCTGGGAAGGCTGTCCACAAGGCTTAGGAGTGTGTCTATGGGAATGTTTGACCATTCTTCCAGAAGTGCATTTGCTTTGTGCCCTGGTGCACAGTCATGTTAGAACAGGAAGGGGCCATCCCTAAACTGTCCCCACATAGTTGGGACCATGAAATTGTCCAAAATGTCTTGGTATGCTGATGCCTTAAGAGCTCCCTTCACTGGAGCTAAGGGGCCAAGCCCACCCCTGAAAAACAACCCCACACCATAATCCCCCCTCCACCAAACTTTACACTTGGCACAATGCAGTCAGGCAAGTACCATTCTCCTGGCAACTGCCAAACCCAGACATGTCCATTGGATTGCCAGATGGAGAAGCATGATATGTCTCCACTGCTCTAGAGTCCAGTGGTAGCGTGTTTCACGGCACCACATCCAACGCTTTGCATTGCACTTGGTGATGTTCTGCCATGGAAACCCATTACATGAAGCTCTCTATGCACTGTTGTTGTGCTAATCTGAAGGCCGCACGAAGTTTGGAGGTCTTTAACTATTGACTCTGCAGACAGTTGGCGACTTGTGCACACTGTGCACTTCAGCATGCGCTGACCCCACTCTGTCATTTTACGTGGCCTACCACTTTGTGGCTGAGTTGCTGTTGTTCCCAGTTGCTTCCACTTTGTTATATTACCACTAACAGTTGACCATGGAATATTTAGTAGCAAGGAAATTTCACGGATGGACTTCTTGCACAGGTGGCAACCTATCACGGTACCACACTTGAATTCACTGACCTCATGAAAGCAACGCATTCTTTCACAATTGTTTATAGAAGCACTCTGCATGCCTAGGTGCTTGATTTTATACACCTGTGGCCATGGAGGTGATTTGAACATCTGAATCCAATGATTTGGAAGGGTGTCCCAATACTTTTGGCAATATAGTGTATATGTCCCTCCTGCCCCACCCAGTGCAAAAAAGTCTGGGTAGGACATGGACGCCAAATTTGGCACCTGGAATGGCCACCTGACAGCCCCAAATGTGCAGCTTTCTTTGCCATTTGGCGTAGTGATGTCACAATGCAACACATCATTTGTGGAGCCTCCAGGCTGTGGAGCCTCTTTGTTACTTGTTTTTTTTTCATTACCTTTTTTGTTATGACTCAGCACCTTGAAAGTCCTAGATTTTGTGAGGAGTATATGCTTCCTCTCTGTGTGTCTTTTCAATGTTGGGGACGTGGTGCTAGGACCCCTCTGTGACTCAGTGTCTTGTGTCTAGCTGAGGGCTGTTTTCTCTTACTCATAAATAAAAAAAATATGTTGTGTAATCTCCTCACAGTCTGCATGGATGGTCAATAGTCATCTTGTATCTATGGGCACTTACACATCTCTGAGCCACAAAAGTAGATTATTAAAGTATTAAAATGGAAATTTACAGAGATATGCAAAAGAAAGTATGTCCACTTTCAAAGTTTTTTTCTTACAGGTTTTGTAGTGGGATAGAGCACATTCTGAACAAGAAAATTGTATAAGGTAATGTCACACAAAGAGCCACAAGAAAAACATTGCAGCAGTATTGGATGGATTATGAAATTCCCAAAGGGAGATGTAGGGATTGAATCTGATTCAGCTACGTGCATCCAGTGAGCTTTGGGTTAAATTGCTTTTAGTGTTAAAATTACTGTAAACCCTCACCTTGTAAAACAACCAATTTAGTTTACAATAGAAATGAAAGGTAACAAGTGTGTATAAGATGTAAAAAAAAATTATAAATACCTTTTTCTATAAGTGATCACATAATCTCTGTTCTCCCTCAGCATAAGGGGGAGGAAAAACAGCAGTACACTAATCTTTCCAGTGAAAGGCTGTGCAGGGGGAGGGGCATGTAAGGACAAGTCTGATCATTTGAGAAGAGCAGGCTGAGTTCCCGGTACAGCTAGAGAACTGACCATGTTGTGTTCTTCTGCTTAGTGTGGTCAGTTTTTAATAGAAAAGCAGAGGGATGGTCAGGAACATTAGGGATTTCACACAAAGGAAGCAATACAAAGAGAACAGGATACTTTTTCGTGGCACATAGCAAAGCAGACACATATCAGGAATATGAAATGTTGAGTTTACATTCTCTTTCAACTGTTAGATGTCTACCCTGTTCTTAAAAGGCTAGTAACATTTGTTTCCGTGTACATTTTTATCAGATATGTCCAATATTAACAAGTTCAGTTTTCCTTAGCAGTATTCTAATAGTCCCATCTATGTCCAGAAACTAGACATACTATACATTTATGTGACAAACAACACATACCAAACGTCCTTTTTTCTTTATATATTAAAATCTAAATAGGCCAAGATGACAAATTTTATGTTGTGGAATAAAATAAACTTGGATACAATGGTTTGGAAAAAATAATATGCAGTATTAAAGTAATTATTTGTATTTATTTATTTATTCTACTTACAATAGTACTTCTTGTGATATGCATGAGGACACACTGACATTGCAGTACAACAACCCCAATGCAATAAGTAATATATTAATATTAGTAAAGCTTTGGAAATACCCAGTAGGCTGGAAAATGTTGACTGAGTCTCAGTTGTTCTATGCCTACACTGCCAGTACCTGACAAGTACCGAAAATGGATGTGCCTGGAGGATGAAAATTGTCCAATTGTTTGAAAATAAATAATCAGATGTACCCAGCATAACTATAATTCGAATTTGTATATACAAAACCATAACAAAGCAATGACACATTAATCACAATCAGTACAAAGATATACAGACCTGTTGTTGATTTAGCTATGTCTCAACAGAAGACATGTCATTTGTATATATCTGACATTAGGATGGCAAAGACAAAGCAAATCTGTCCAGAAACCGCTGCCAAAGGATTTCTCTTTGTATTTAGCTAGGACCTCCCTTAAAAAGTCACACAGCAACCACATGAAGACCCCACGTGAGGCTTAACAATACATAGGCATTAGCTTGTCAAAATCAAAAGGCTTAGTCTTTGGATCATCATTATGAACTTCTATAAACAATTCTAATCCCAAGTACTTTTCTGGAGGAACTCTTAACCATCCGCAAATGTGATTCATGAAGGAAAATAATATTCACACAACGCTTTGCAGTATGACTTACGTAGCGTAAAGGAAAGAATAGGAAAACAATAAGCGTAGGCTGGTTTGGTAAATTAGGAATGTTTCTAGATACTGACTAGTTTAAAAACATTACATTTTTTGAGATGAGGATTTTTCTAAGCAGTGTTAGGGTTTGAGAATGCCTATGTAATTTGACTGGTCTCTCAGGAGGTAAACTTAATGCACATTATTATACTCCAGTGTTTCTCAACCTTCTTTCAGTTTAGGCACCCTTTAAAACTCAAAACTTTAACACGATCTTGAGGAACACCATTCTAAACTGTAATAAAAAACTAATAGTTTTACGCAATACAGCAACATCCACACACGTAGGACACCCAACCTTAGAGGTGATTTATTCTTCCAAAGTAAATACACCTTTGCACACTGGTACTGACTAGTATTCTACTGTTTCTCTTCCCCCTCAGTTTCTCTCCCTCACTCTGCTAATGTCATCCTAGTGCTGATGATTATGAGCAGGGGAGGACAAATAAAGATGTTGTTCAGGCACCCAACGTCCTCCTTACTATCCAATGTCATCATTGGTTGTTAAGACACCAGCGGATAGAAGTTTTTAATGGTGCACAATGAAAACCATTGGCTTTGTGTAACTAAAAGGCAGACTTCAGCCACCCACTGGCTTGCATATAATTTTTGGGCAATTTTTAGGCATTTTGCAAAGGCACCTGTGGAGAAACCTGAAGGCACCCCAGGGTTCTTGGGTATCCTGGTTGAAAAAGGCTGTTATACTCACATCACCCCTGTCCAGGGATCTAGCATTAAAAGAGTGCCTCTTCCCTTTAGAATTCCTTTTATATTCTTTTCACGGAATACAAGGCATTCTATAATTGGACAAGGAGAGATCATGACCTTCAACTAACCCTTCCCTCATATATTCTTAGAGAATGCCTTGTATTCTGTGAAAAGAATACAAGAGGTTTTAAATGGAGGATATGAACAATGGGCGACCAACTATCATCACTGTATGAGCAGATGAACCAACAGTGGACAAGCCAGAAGAACACAGCTGACATTGGTTTGCAGCATAATACAAGAGATTTTTTAGATTTTTTTTGGTCCTTCCATTGTTTTGTTGTACAAATTTTGTTACTGATTATTGCTGTTGCAGGTATTGTTGTGGTTGCCTCATTGGGTGTTAATAAAATATTCTTCTTCAGCCTTGCTGTGTCAGAGAGTGTGGTGGTGCCCAGGGGGTCATTGGAACTAGGAACAGGGGACTGGAATATCAGTGGCTCCTCCAGGGGTAAGCGCTACAAGTGTATGCCCAGACATGCCACAAATCTCTCATGTTCCAAATAACTGATAGCCAACAGAGGCTGAGAACAAAGGAAGTTAGCTAATAAGATCTCTGGCAGAATCAGTAAGTGTTTTGCACAATTGCAACCCGGCTCCATGCTCCAGGTGGCCTGTGCTGCCCCCCTGTACACCTGGATAGGAAAGGCGGGGAGAGGCGACATATAGAGAAACCAATCCCCTCCATTTTCCCCCTGCAACCACTTAAACCCTGCTTCTCCTCCTCTCCCTCCCGCAGGCATTCAGCGCTGCACTAGGAAAATGTAGGGGATTGGTTTCTCTGTATACTGTCCCACTGCCCCTCCTATCCAGGTTCTGCCACCCACATGTGTGCTTTCCTGCTCCCCCATCCCCCAGAAGTTCTGCCGACTTACTCCCTCTTCTCTTCCGCTAGCTGCTGTGGGAGATACGTTTAGGATGGAGAATGGGGAAGAAGCCTATAAATACATAATTTACTGTCCCTATCCTTTTCTGAATTGACTGATCACTGCCTATGTCCATTCATAAGTGAAGCAAAGTAAATTCTGTTTACTTTGCTTCAGTCTGTGTATGAACAGGAAGCTCTATACAGAGCTATTCCTGTCCATTCATTTTGTTCATCTGGGGCTGCAGAGATGGAAATTGAGGACTGTGTCCTCAATCTTCTTTCTCTGTCTCCAAGGTGAAACATCAGAGGTCTGTTTAGACCCCTGATACATCACCAAAGCCCCCAACGGGGGTTAAAAAAAGGACCCCGACTAGAGGACAGGCAGGCCTTTAATGGCTTCTTGCACTGAAGGTTCTAGTTAGGCATCTGAGTGTTACACTACGCTAAACCTTTTGTACAAACCTTTTACCTACACGCTTTGTGTAGCTAAAGGATGTCCTTTTTCCCATCTCAGAAAGTTCGGAGGTATGCAAAAACACTTTTAATTTAAACAGATCAAAAGGGAAGAGAAGTTCATTGCTCAGGTTGACATACACTTTGAATGTGAGTCTGTATTCCAGAGGTAAAGATAAAAGGAATCCCCATCAATAAATCAGCATTCCTGTGTTAAGATTTACAGGTCTGGACATCTATAGAGTAAAAAAATTTGCACCTTACATAACTCTGATCTTGAATATTCTGGAAATGTACAGAACTCTGTTGTGCATAACTGGAATGATAAACGCTCTGATGATATGTGCAGGTCTATAAGAGAGGTCAGATGTGTAAAGAAGAGACTGTCTCATAGTTTCTCCAAACAATAGAAGCGGTAGGCTGAGTTTATCTTATTTAGAGAATATGATCCCTGAGTGGGGGGTTTCACAGACTAGCCAGACTATGACTTCATCTTTCTTTTTAGAGCCAAGATTTTTTAACCCTACTTTTAGTCTAGCATACAGAAATCTATATAAAATTCCCTCAGTTAATTG